ATATGTATATATATATATATATAAATATATATAGGATGGAGCATCTAATCATCATACACACTGAACCACGTGCGATGAATCACCTTAGCGTCCCAAGGCGGGGTGGTTAACCCAATAGCGCTATTATTGTCCATAACGTACCTCAAGAATACGGGCATAGTCATGGAGATTAGACTAAAAATGATAATGCACTACAAGTACATGTAGCGTAAACAAACAATAGTTATACAATTAATGACTCACGTATAAATGTCCCAACAATGTCTCAATTGTGATAAAACAATAAAATGAAGTTGGAACATATTAGAACCGCATGATACACCCCAAAAGTATTGAAAAGTATAAAATATGGGGTAGATTACTCACTTTAGTCCCAAAACGAAATGCGTGTGTCGTACGATAGACGGTTCGGGTCAAAATGGCGTAGAACCTAATATAATTAATAGTTTTGGTTTAGGAACTGCTAAACGAGAATAGAGTATTAATAAAAATTATAGTTTGTTATGTAAATGTATCATAAACTATACCTTCTATAGTTTATCACAACAAGGGTAGTAGTAGTGTTCATAAACTATAATTGTCATAGTTTACCAAATGTTTGTGTATAACGGATGTAAACTTTGTTTATAAAAATTAATTATTTACCATACTTGTGAAGGTAAAAATCCATTTGTTTTCTGATGTATGTCTAATTACCAAGACAAAATGACATATAATGTAATAATATATGATTACATAATGATATACACCTTGCTCAACGAGTTACAAGACGTAAATGAAATTGATGGTATTTTTCTAGTAATAACGTTTCTGTTACTGTTCTTAGAAAATTTATAGAAAAATCATCAAAGGTCTAAATCAAAAACCGCAAATTCTGAGAGTTTAGAAAGTGTGTCTAGTTTGTTCATAAATTTTCTCATGATTTTTAGTGATCTCCAACTTGTGTGAAAATATTCATATTCACAGACTGGTCCGGTTTTGTTTCTGAAATGATAGACAGTTTTGTAAAAATCACCATAAATCGTATAAAAATCATATGGTGATGTGCAAGTAGTCATTTTAAAGGTATGAACCTGAACTATATGCGTCTGAAACAGTTTTGAAAACTAAAATGTTTAAGTTGACCAAAACAGTCCGTGAATGGAGTTACATGTTTCTGTTGAAGACTGTTAAATGAGTTTAGTTGTGTTTTTGGTGTTTTAACTTGTATTCCCCCCTTAAAACTTAAGAAAAACATTAAAATATAGGGGTATGAACTCACCTTATGTGTTATTAGAGGATGGATGTTGGAGAAGAGAAGTGTTCAACCCAAGAACACTTAGAAGATGCCTTGACGAATCGAGAACCTAACATGAAGGTGACGATGTTTGTGTAAGATTCTTATGATTTTGAGTAGAAGGATGTGTAATAATCATAAGAAGAATGAATTATACTTACCAAGAGTGGAAGAAAGCTTGATAATCAGCCTTGGAAGTCTTGGAATTGAGAGAGAATGGTGAGAGAATTTGGAGTGTGATCCTTGGAGGAAAATGAGAGAATGAAAGAAGTATGAAGAGAGGGGATGGGTTTTTATACTTAGACAAGGAGTGGGGCTGGTCATGTAGTGGGTATGAGTTGGTCATGTAGTGGGTAAGAGCTGGTCATGTAGTGGGAAAGAGTTGGCCATGTAGTGGGTGTGAGTGGTGGCATGTGACATAAAGTAAAGTAAAGTCATCTTTCCACCTCAAGCACCTCCCCTACTAATTATTGGTATGAATGGCCCTAAAAACGTGGGGATTACTGACATATAGAGTTCTAACTGTAAAAATAAAGTTTTTGGTGAAAATCCCGCGTTAAAATGATGAAAAACGGGTCTAAAACAAAGTCGTAGTCGAAAAACCGGAAACATTATGACACGCAAAAATGCATGTCGTCTTCTTTTATGACAGGGGCTTCCTTGATACTCATTGCGTGTCATCAACACGCGCGTCGTAAGGTTATGACAGACAAATGTGTGTCGTCTTCCTTTATGACAGAGACTTCGGTCCTGAAGCTTCAGTTTTGGGTCCTTAAGCCTATTTTACCCGTTTTTACCCCGTTTCAAGTGGTTTTTTGACCCAGTTAAGGGCCGGGATGGCCCGAATGATTACAAAAATTTAAAGGAACTTTTGAGAGGGATTTGGGAGAGATTCGGGAGAGATTTGGGAGAGATTTTAATAGAGAGAGGTTGAGTGAAAGAGATTGTGAGAGGTTTCATTTGTGATCTTTTTGAGTGTCCGGCTTCGCAACGAAAGGTCCATAAACCCCGTTAAGCCATGATTTAGTGTTTTACACAATCCCGATGATTGTGCAATAGTGTTTTATCGCTTTGGTTGGTTGTTTAGCACTGTTAAGGCTAAGGAAAATCAAACACATGAATTTTTCAAATGATGTTTTCTCATTGAAATAGCGAATTGTATAATGTAAACCCTAACATACAAGGGTTAATGGAGTTGACCGGTTTGACTTGTTGACTTTGTTTGACTTTGACTTGACCGAAATTTGACGGTTGTCACACGCGACCTCCCAACACCTACGTGATGTTTGTACAAGCCTCGTTCGAATGGCCAACATCACTCCAGTCTGCAAACACCGAAGTGTACGCGTACCATGTGTCGCACGGGCATCTAGAAAGACCGAGCAACTCGTAAATGGATTAAGCTCTTTTCCTAGAAGGTATTTTTCAACCAACCAGGCTCGAATGTATCCGGATAGGGTTTCATGCTAAGTGCTAGGTTCTACACTTTCCCTCTATGCATAACCCCACATAATCGATCGTAAATCCAGTACAAGCACACAATATTTGTATTATCATAATCAAGATTCACAAGCATGCAATATTCGTATTATCATAGTTGCAATTAATCATATCAAGTACCAAGATAGGCATATCAACCAAATTTACTAAGCATGCAAATGTCACAGAAGGCAAAACATTGACATATCTCATACTGCACATATAGGCATACTTAACAATTAATAATATCCTAATCTGACTAATCGAGCCGTTTCTGGAAAGTAGTTTTCGACTATGTACAAGGTTTATGAAAAAGTCTATTGACTCACCTTTCGTTCGGTAGTGAAATCACTTCAAAACGTGATTTCGTAGCTCTTTTACTCAACAAATACCTAAACAAAAAGTATATATTTATTTAGTTTACGCTAAGATAAACATTATTAACACTAAATGTATATTTATTTATCTCATATTACTTTATTAGATTAATCTATTGTTGTTTATAAATTACGATCACTACTAGAAAACTAGGGCAACAGCTACGGCACAATCCGTAGCTATTCAGTAGGTATAAGGCGATACCTACGGATTTGCTACGGAAAATGCCTTGTAGCATAAATGCCCGTGGGAAATTTATAACTACGGAATTGCTACGGACTAGCTACAGAATAGCTACGGCTTTTTCCGTAGGTATAGTACCTACGGAATAGCTACGAAAATACATAACTACGGATTTCCTACGGATTACCGACGGAGCCCACTTTGACTACCATTGACTTTATTACCTACAGATTTCCCACGGCTCACATTACCTACGGATTTTCCGTAGGTAATTATTTTTAATTTTTTTTAAAAAAAAAGCAAATAATTATTAAAAAAAAATCCAGTTTTTGATGTTCAAATTATTGAAAAAACTCATTACATTAAACTTATAACAACCACAAAACAAATAACATTATAATAAAACTAATAAACCTAAAAAGGTATCAAATACAAATACATATTAGTAATGAACATTGTCTAATAATACATTAAATGTGTCTAATAATACACATTAAAAGTGTCAACTACAAATGTTTAACTAAATGCTTACAAACATAAAATTGAGAATTATTTGGTGGATTACTTGGCAAATTATTGGGTAAGTTGAATCGATAAAAGCCGACAAGTGTTCTTCAATTTGAGTTTTGAATCAAATGCCTCCAATTGTTCCTGTTTCAACACACCATAATCAGTGATCACAAAAAAAATACAAATATAGCAATGTACTTTTATTTATTTGTTTATTAAAGCCATAATTGGGAACATTTTTGATTAGTACAACGCTATAAGTAAGTTGTTATAATAATCATGTATATCTTGCATTTAAGAGGCAAAATATACTGAATTTAAAGTAGTTCATGGTAATTACAGAAATCATAAAATAATAGCATGACCAAAGGCTATTGAGCAATATATTAGTGAAAACCTAACTCATAGATGCATAGTAGTTACAAAAAAGTTTACTCTATCTTACCCAAATGCAAATAGAGTCCTTGGATTATGCTTTTCTTTCCAACCACTTAAGCAAATTTAGTTGCAAGTTACCCAATCGGCTATATGTGAAACAATATATATTGTACCTGTACATGGAACCCAAACTATTCCATAAGCATAAACTTGCAGGAAAAAATCAACTTAAGTAATAATAGACCATAAACATAAGTTGGATTTAAAAGCAATAATTTTCTAGAATTTATGTAACCCACAATCAACATGGTGGTGTGTTGATACTTGATTCACAATAAGCATTTTATGCAACCTACAACTTGAACAACCCTAAGAACATCAAATTCCTCTCTTTTCATATCTAAAATTCGAATTTGATGCTTCTAAACATAAACTCATAGCTCAATACCTCGATTTTTTATCTCCTCTACAAAGAAAGTAAAAAGGATGTTACCAGAATCTTTTAAATCAACATCTACAGGTCTCAACTCTCAAGCCACTATTGTAGCATCTTTTCCATTTTCAACCTATAACAGAAAAAACAGATATAAACATAATATCCACTCCCAACAAAAGAAACAGATATAAACAATAAATACACAATTAACTTAATAAAAATTTCAATAAATCATGTCAAAGAAACTGAAATACCAAGGAGTAATTTTTATTCATAGAGTGATACCAAAAAGATTAGGGCTTACATTCATCAAGGAAAGCAGTAAAATAAGAATAGAGGGAGGCGACAGTTGAAGCAGATATGGTGGAGAATGGCAGTGGGACAGATACAGCGGCCAGGTCGACGGTGCTTCCGACTTCTTCAGTGGGTGGTGGCGTCGGCGACAAACTGAACCGACGACGGTTGCCAACAATGACGACCGTTCGTGGGAGATGTGAGGCGGGACGTCTTGCAGGGAATTAAACCCTAGAAGAAATCGAGCAAATGATTAAGCATGTACATTACATTCTTCAAATTAAAAAAAGAAAAAATCTAGGGTTTACCTTTGTAGGAGAAGAAATTGAGCAAAGATGGGTTATGCCGGAGGAGCTCTGCTGCCGCAGAGGGAAGGAACGCTGGAAGAGGGGTGAACGATCCGGAGAAGGGACGAGCAATGAGGGGTGGTTTTGGGTAGCGTTCACAGAATACGAAGGGGGGAAGACAGAAGCGAGGAGTGTAGGAGTCGATCGCTAAAATGGAGGAGGAGGCGTACAAAAAAAATATGAAACCCTAAACTGAACAAGGCAAAAAAACGACGGTGGTATGACTCGAACTCGGGTATTTTCCATACATAACCAACAAATCTAAAAATCGGCTGGGAATGCCACATCCATACTAACATTGTCCACTATTACTTTTAACCACTTCCACAACCGTTTATTGTTATTATTATTATTATTATTATTATTATTATTATTATTATTATTATTATTATTGTGATTTTTAAATACATGTAGATACACATACACGAGTACATACATATACACATACACATAATCATATAAATATACACATTTAAATACACACATACACATACATATACATTCTCACCTACATACACATATAGACATACATAAACAAACATACATACATACATACATACATACATACATACATACATACATACATACATACATACATACATACATACATACATATGCATTACAATGTTAAACCATGAAATGAGTAATAGATCCCGAAGGTGTACACGACTTTATGAGCGATATTAATAGCTATAAGTTGGTGAAAGTTTAGATAATCATGTATGCATGTATGTGTCTACATGTATAATGGTTACACTTTCAATAACAAACTATTTTGTTATTTTTATATACATGTAGATACACATACACGAGTACATACATATACACATACACATAACCATACACAACAAACTGATGCATAAATGATGACGATGAGGATGATGATGATGATGATGATGATGATGATGATGACTATTGATAGTGTGATGGTGATGGTGATGGTGGTGGTGGTGGTGGTGATGGTAACGGTGATGGTGATGGTGGTGATGATGATAGTGATGGTGATGGTGATGGTGGTGGTGATAGTAATGGTGATGATGGTGATGGTGATGGTGATGGTGCTGGTGATGGAATGGTGATGGTGGTGATGGTGTTGATGATGATGGTGATGATGATGGTGATGGTCATGTTGATGGTGATGGTGATGGTGATGGTGATAGTGATGATGGTGATGGTGATGGTGATGGTGATGGTGGTGATGGTGATGGTGATGGTGATGGTGGTGATGGTGGTGTTGGTGATGGTGGTGATGGTGATAGTGATGGTGATTGTGATGGTGATGATGGTGGTGTGATGATGGTGTTGGTGATGGTGGTGATGGTGATGGTGGTGATGATGATTGTGGTGATGATGATGGTGGTGTGATGGTGATGATGATGATGACGATGATGGTGGTGGTGGTGGTGATGATGATGGTGGTGTGGTGGTGATGGTGGTGATGGTGATGGTGGTGATGATGATGGTGGTGTGATGGTGATGGCGGCGATGGTGGTGATGATGATGGTGATGGTGATGGTGATGGAGATGGAGATGGTGGTGATGGTGGTGGTGATGGTGATGGAGATTGTAATGGTGGTGTGATGATGGTGGTGATGGTGGTTATGGTGATGGTGGTGATGATGATGGTGGTATGATGGTGATGATGATGATGGTGGTGGTGGTGGTGATGATGATGAAGGTGATGGTGATGATGATGATGGTGGTGATGATGATTATGATGATGATGGTGGTGGTGGTGGTGATGATGATGGTGATGGTGATGATGGTGATGATGATGGTGGTGGTGGTGGTGGTGGTGGTGGTGATGATGATGATAATGGTGTGGTGATGATGATGATGATGATGATGATGATGGTTGTGGTGATGATGATGATGGTGGTGGTGATGATGTTGATGATGATGGTGATGGTGATGTTGATGGTGGTGATGGTGGTGATGGTGATGATGGTGATGATGATGTAGGTATAGGTGTTTGTGAGATTTATGTGAACGTATTCATAAGCATTATACTGTTAAACCAGTAAACGAGTAATGGATCCTGTATGTTCACACGGCTTTATGAATGATATTAATAGCTATAAGTTGGTGAAAATATAGATAATCATGTATATTAGAGGTGTGAAAAAAACGGAGCGAAAAAAACGACGTTTGGTGCCCGAAAAATCGAAAATATGAAAAATCCGTAGCTAATTAGCTACGGATTAGCTACGGATTTTTCTTATTTTCGATTTTTTGGGCACCAAACGTCGTTTTTTTCGCTCTATTTTTTTCACACCTCTATTATACATGATTATCTATATTTTCACCAATTTATAGCTATTAATATCATTTATAAAGTCGTGTGCACATACATGATCCATTGCTAGTTTAATGGTTTAACACTATAATGCTTATGAATACGTACACATACATCTCACAAACACGTATACATACACATATACACGTACACATATACCACAACTCATTCATGTATATAAATATACATATACAAACATAATCGATGACAAGTTGGTGAAAAGTATAGGCATTATAATGTTAAATTGTGAAACGAGTACTTGATCCTGAAGGGGCACACGACTTTATGAACGATATTAATAGCTACAAGTTGGTGAAAATAAAGATAATCATGTATAGTCGAGGTGTGAAAAAAATGAAGCAAAAAAAACGATGTTTGGTGCCCGAAAATTTGAAAATAAGAAAAATCTATAGCTAATCTGTAGCTACTTAGCTACGGATTAGCTACGGAATTCTAACGGAAAGCATACTCCGTAGCTAATCCGTAGGTAATTAGTATCCGTAGGTATTCCGTAGTCATTCCGTAGCTAATTAACTACGGAATAACTACGGATTTGCATTTGTAGCTATTCCATAACTATTCCGTAGCTAATTAGCTACGGAACATCTACGTACCCGCATCCGTAGTTATTCCGTAGCTATTCCGTTATTAAAGTAGGACATCTCATTCTATAGCTGATCCGTAGCGATTATGTAGCTAATTAGCTACGGAAATTTTCCGTAGCTATTTTCCGTAGGAAAACGCCATGTTTTCCAGTAGTGGATTACCTCAATTTGGTTTATTATTTAATTAAACTGTATTTTAGAATCCTTCAATGTTAACTAACGATAATGAAATGCTTATATTACAAAGTCGTTGACACTAATCTGGAATCAACTGATGCTTTTAATTAACTATTCCATGTCATGCACCTTAATATATAATTTGTGATTATATTGAAACTCTTTTATAAATTATACACGTTCATTTACAAAATTCCTTATTAACACATATGCCATCAAATCATTATGTGAATCACAAGTTTATAAGCATAACTTTTAATATGTGCTAACAAATTAGATTATTTATAACACTTTAAAATTAGCATGTAATTATTATTATTTTATCTTTACTAATAAAGCTCATGATATTTACCAAAATTATAAGCCGACATTTATGTGTTGATTACTTAAACTTCATCTTGACTTAAGAGATTCAAAATTTCATGCCTTACGATCACCGGTCATGTTCTAATAATAGTATACACACACAATCTAATTAAAGACCTTCTCCAGTGAAGTTTATGAGGTACATGAAGCATTACGTGAAAGCAACACATGGCTGTTAAAGATCGCAGAATTTAAAGTTGGGTAAACATGGTATCGGAAAGTAAGTTTCAAAATCAATGGGTTACATCGATGCTTCCAAATTCGATCGACACTCGTCCCAATCTTCAACCAGTATATATATATGTTCAGGATTAAGAAAGGTAAGGGGAATTGAAGGAAATCCGCACATATCTCGTTCAGATTAGGAGCAGCAAGTTTGCAGTAATTGCCAAGAATAGGGAAGGAAAAGAAGAGCTACATCTAGTATTCTGCCAGCGAGATATATATTCACGAACAAATTGTGGATGAGCAGGAAAACATGAGGAGTTTGGGTCCAAGAACTTACCAGTCGACGTGTTGCCGTCTTTGTCCCGATCAAAGTCCAAGCGATAGTAGATTTTCAATAACCTTAGCCGTAACCAGCTCTCTCTCTCTCTCGAACCCTCTCGATCTCACTATCTTTACACAACTATCTTCCCGCTCCTCAGGTTTCCTTCTGCTTGTGTTTTCTCATGGTTAAATTATCTTTAGGGAAACGTATGTGAGAATAATTAAGGCGAAGGGTGAGCATATGGGTCGTGAGTAACGGAAACGAAAGAAACAAAAAGGTCGGCAGTTTCCCTAATCGTATGAGTGAAATGATTAAAGATCAATTTACAATTTTGGTCCCCAATAACTTCTCCAATTTCATTAAAATCCCCACCTCTTATATTCATTTCATTTAAAGTTTCTATGATTAACTATTCACCCCTAGACTTATATATTCACTTAACTTATTACCTTAATTAAATTTTAAAGTTAATTAAACACATTTTATACATTTTGATTATTAGTTAAATCCTATAATTAATTTAAATCTCAATTAGTTACTACGGGATTTTATCCTTTTATACCGAATGTATAACATTCTTGTCACTACCTTGCTTATAGATTCATCAATTGAATTCAAATTTACATCAATGGTCCTTCAACTTTGATATCTATTCCAATGGTAACCCTAACCATATTAAATACGACTTTCTTTTTTTTACAATGGTTTAATTAGATTAAATATAAAATAAAAAACTCACTTTCAATCATTTTCAATTATTAATAAATTTTGGATAACCATTCAAAATATTAATTAAATCTTTTAAATCATAAATAATATCTTTTTTCATGTTATATATATTAAGCATATATTCCTACACGAAATAAACACACAACTTATTCCTATATATAACGGAAGACTAACATCGTTAAAAGGGAGATTTTTGGGTCGTTACAATTCTACCCTCCTTAAAATGATTCCGTCCTCGGAATCTCTAAATAATTGCATCATTTTGTTCCTAATTCGCCTCATCAAATTATAATCCCTAAACGAATCAATGTCATAGGAAAATTATGTTTACCAAAAGCGATATCACCCATTTCACACAATTCCTGTGTTGCGACTGATTCAAACACAGTTGCATCAATATCTAACTCCGCAACTCATGGAGTCTGTTGTATACCGCAAATGAGCACATAAATGCAATGGCACCAAATATTTACTAGTACCAACATCAG